CCAATAATATTTAGGGCTTTGCTTTCAGGAAAAAGAATTTATTTCCCATATTGCATTCCTTATTTCATTAGGAATCTTTCATGTCTTTCGTTGAGTCTCCGCATGATTTATAAAAGCATATCGTGGGTTCACCAAATCAATGCAGCTGAAGTAATCTTAACGAACTTGGAAAAGTTCACATACAGAAAATCACATAAAATTACGTTACGCTACTCAATACATACATAATATAATACACATATAATTTAAATTGTATTGCCTCCAGTTCAAATCTCCACTATCCAAGCATACCAATGAAAGTATTTTTTTTTTTTTTCATTTGCATCGATCCAGATCGTTAGAAACGATTAAGTGTTTATGTGATGTTCGATATGATCGAAACATCAAATCTTCGAATGCATTTGTTTGTTTCAGAGAAACCGTGATTCCATGGAAATGAACAGAGTACGAGGACAGCTCGATATTTGGTCACGTTTGCCTCACTCGGGGACTCGTGTTTTCGTTCAATACATCGACGGTTGAACTGGCTCCTCCTTCCGATCGGCGGTTTGAATCCAGGAGCTACTTGAATGAGAAAGGCCCATGCCTGTGGTTACCTCGTACCCACGATCCTTTACGGACGACGAAATAGCAGGTCGAACCGAGGAACATAAACGATGCCCCCCCTTGTCAATGAATTGGGTTACTCGATCCATTTGACGACGGTTTAACTAAATACTTTAAGCCTTTTATGCGTACTTCGTGCGTACTCTATCCGTCAATTTATGAGGACACTTCAGACCCAAGGATATTCCCTTCGTTGCTTCCGTAATTTAATGTGATTCGGTAAATGACACTTGAATACTGCTTATTTAAATGCAGATCCGTAATCGCAATTTTGTTTGGTTACAGGCGAGGGCTCCCTTAAATACTGGTTGAATTCTTTCGTGAATGTAATTTTCATGAAAAGATTTTGAATTTAGTAATGAAAATTTAGTATCGGCAAACTTAACAAAGAATAAGTAACTATATGAGTAAAAAAATCAATAGGTATGCGTTGAATCTTAAATTTTCATAAAACTCAATGTCTTTAGTCAAATTATATTTCAGTTACTTGTATTTGTATCAGTGTTCCGTGATGGCTGTCTTTTGTTATTCATAATTTTGTAATAAAGTATCGTGACATAATTTAGAGTTAAGAAAAAGAGAACGCCAAGAAAATTATATAGAATTTTCAAAAATACAAATTGAAGATAATCAGAAGTTTATTTTTTCTGTCTAATATTATTCTAGAATGTCATATTTTCACTGATTAAATTGTTTAGACGATTCTTTTCCAAAACATACTCTCTCTGAATAAAGATACATAAGAAATAACAATCAAGAAGTTTTCAACTACACGCAATGCCTGATGTTCTGTTAAATTGCAAACTATTTCCATAATCCTAAATGTTATCACCTAGTAAACAAGGGAACCAGTATTTCCAATTAATGGGATTGTACGGGCATTCATGCGACAACTTCCGTTTAAAGATAGTCTAATTTCGTTCGCCGCACGAATAGTTTATCAATGAACAGGTGGGTCACACTTTGATCGCGTTTCATTTGATTTTTCACTTTATAATTTTCCCGTTATCAAACTGTTCTTCACACGCCAGTAAATTCAGCTTCGACCTCTTCGACAAACATATATTTTTCGACGGCTCGATAATAATTGGTGTTCTTCAATAAATAACAGTTTTTATTTTCAGATACAAAAATGATTTCGTTTATCTAAAGTAAATGCCTGATTTGCAATAAATTAATTCAGGAATTGTTGATTGCACTCGTTCTAGCGGAAAATTGCTTTAATAAATTGCACTGCTCAATTCGACATATTGCATCATAATGAAATTTATTCATTTTTTTAATGGAGTTCCCGACGAGCTTCAAAGTTCTTCAATGTTGGATTAAAATTTGTACAATCGCCGATCATTTTTAAATATGGGGTGAATATATGAAAATATCTGTGTTCCATTAATTTCTACTCATCGATTTCTCTCAATGATTAATTAGTAGGTATTGCCGTTCGAAATGAAAATTATTCGAGAATCAAATCCACCATATGAAAATGTACGTAAAATATCATTTCTGGTATACAGATAAGAAAATATTGAACGTGAATATACTGGGTATTATTTCCCGTATATCTTTAAAACTATCGTAGATATAAAAAAACGATTAGAATAAAAATTGAATGGTTTTTTATGCCCTATAAAACGATGCAATTAAATTGATAAAAATTATGTGTTTAAATAAAAACATCCCCCCCCAATTTTATGAATTATCAATTTAATTGCATCGTCCTATAGATCATAAAAAGCCATTCAATTTTTATTATAACCATTTTTTTATATCTACGATAGTTTTAAAGACATACAGGGAAATATGGAAACACCTGTCTACCTTCAAGGGATGTTTTCACTCTAAAGAATTGAAATTAGATAAAAAACCAGAATTGCACTGTACTTCTCTTGAGCTCCCCAACAAACCTGCAAAGTTTTAAAAAAACTCGGAACTTTTGGGTTATCGAACTTCCCTTGTTAGTTTTGCTTCTAGAATCCACTCTATGAAAGCACATTTCACATTTCCCCCGACACCCTGCATATGAAACAACCGCGTGGAAGCGACAGGCAATCGGGTCCAGATTGACCAACGAAGAGACCGTCGAAATCGACTGAACATTAAAACGATGTTTGCCCTCTAACCGCGACGCAGTCAAGCCGCAAAACCACCGAACTCCATCGATCTATAATTCCGCGGGACCCGGTCGAATCGACTGTGCAATTCATTCCAGATTCTTTCGTAACTACGTCTCCCCATCAGGCATCGCTCGAAATTGCGAGCACTTTGCTAGATGGTCCCGCGGTCCGTTTAAAGGTCGGGAACGAAGCGGGTTCAAGAGTAACCTGGGCTCCTGCGCCCAGTTACGTAAATGTATCCTTTAAAGCTCCGACATCGGGGATCCAATGTATCTTCTTTCGTGGCTGTTTGCATCAGCCTGGCTCGTGAACGGGCCGGGGCTTACCTCTTTCCTCGTTTCGCTTTTCTACTTCTCTCTCTCTCTCTCTCTCTCTCTCTCTCTCTCTCTCTCTCTCTCTTTATTTCGGCAGTGCTGATAGCCCGGCTGATGTTACCCTTCCGGGCAAAGTAAAGTTATACGGGGTGGTGGGATGACGGGGAAGAGGGAAAGCTGGCGGAGAAAGTTCGGCGAAAAGAACGCGGAAGCAAAGAGACAGAGGGAATGCGCTGCATAAAGGAAGAAGAACGAGCAGATAAAAGTGAAAAGTCGAGGGGGACGGGTGGAGTGGAAGCGGCGGGCATGAAAGAGATGAAGGATGAGAGAGATACTCGTGAGTATACGTTTGGCTCGTTTCGTCAATCAATACGCGGTGAATAACTATCGAAGTTCAGACGCGGATGTATAGTTCGCGGGATTTATTAAAATATTTGTTTCTCTTTTAACCGTGAATTCTTCTGGAACATCACTGTACAAGGTGTACAGGCTGGCTGAGCATTGTTCGAATCGTTAATGGTTGCGTAAACGGGTGACAAATGGACGAACTATACAGTGTTCCGTGATTGGAGAACAACTTCTGTGGATGATTTACGGAAGGATATAATCATTACTTTTTAGAAATTTCCTTGTTATTTTGTGATTTTAGAAAAATATTACCATCTTGGTTGAAATTAAAAGGTAGTTTGTGTAATTTTTTATGGCTGTATATCGAGGAGGTACGTGAGAAAATTCATTAACTCTTTCTGCCCTGACTTACTCGGTAAGCCACATAATTTAAATAATTAATCAAATAATTAATTAGTTATATCACATAGAATGTTCAGGCTAACGATATGATTTGTAAGCGCTAAGTTAAATGATTCCAAACGGAATCACACGAGTAGAAAGGGTTATAATGCGACCGAGTTTAGAAATCATTCTCAGCTGAAAACTTTTGTCAATCGATTAGTAATACTCGCAACAAAATATAGTCGCAATATTTAAATTAATGTTCTTACGCAGAGTCTCGTTCAGTAGTCTCTGGCTCTTAAAATATCACCTTCTTCGTGCGTATGAAATATTCCACTATTTTCTTTTTTACAATAATTTGGCAACGATCATGTCCAATGTTTATCAAATAACCGTGGAACACTGTACTTGTGCTATGCGATTTAAGCGGCGACGATGTGATCTTTCATGATTCTGGACTGGTGCAATCGAGTATCTTCTGGCAAACAGAGATTCTGGTTATTTTCAGGACATTCGATGTGAAAGTAGCGTCTCGGCGGAACGATCACGTAGCGAGTCAACGAAACGGTTCCCGATGTTTTACCGGTGACGGTATTATATTAAAGTTACGCGAGGCAATTTCTTCGGGATCCTCGTGCTCGGACGCGATCCTTCGATGAGCGTGATCCTCGTACTGGCAGTATCGCGGGTGGCACCATTTACGTTTCGTAGAAAAAGTGTCGCGAGATGTTTCCGAATGATGCGGAACGGCGCGTTATCAAACGTGGCTAGCCATTCGCCTGGAAGCCCCATCAATCGAAAAAAAAATTGTATTTTCACTCATTCTCTCTCTGGATCGAACACAGAGAAAACCGTGGATACTAGACATTTTATTCTTACTCTCGAATACGTCGTCGGTTCGAGTAGCAATCGAGATTGATCAATTGCCGAGCAATTCTTTCGGAATAACACGGCAAAATCGTCTCGAAGATACACAGGCAATATCCATATTGAATAATTCATCGGCATAAAAAACGAAGAGACCGCTGCATATTCAAAACGAACACAATTGTGAACGTTCTCCCTCCCAGCACGCGGTCAGCCGTTCACCGATATGGAAATCGATTTTCTCCGCGGTCGATCGTCGTCTATCTTATTCCGGTTCTACTTTCTTTCTAGCGAGGTCGCCGTTAATTATTCCATTCAAATAACTAACACGTTGGTGAGCGATAGGGCGTGTCCAGATTAAAAGCACTCGGACAGGCCCTTGTAGGACTTCTCTCATTTTTTTATTTTTTTTTTAAGCTCGATGTTCAGCACATTCTCGGGAGTCCGCGTCTCCGGACGTGAAAACACGTCCTAGGAGAAGATTGGAGACCACCGAGCGGCACGGGTGTGTACGTGTGTGTGGTGGTGTCTCTCCGTAGTCGGCTCGTGTCTCAGGGAATCACAACACACTCAGTTCGAACGAACGCGTCGACACCTTTTGGGGGGACGGGGCGGGCGAAGTGGTCGGTTTAAACCGTGCCCCGAGAGGTGAACGTGTCGATCGTCCGGGGATGTCATCATGAGCACCGCGTAGCCCTCGATGATGACCTGTCGATCGCTGGGCTTACGTTGAACACGAGAGAGGACATTCTTTTGCTCGACGTTATCGTGGCTGGAGGATTCGTGGTGTCGTACACCTCGAGATCGCTACGACTACGTACGTTCGATGGCTCCCGCCAGCTGGTTACCACGTTCCCCCAGCTGGCTTCGCCGGTCAGGTAGGCTAGAAGGAGTAGAATTAGGCACCCACCTAGGCACCTGCCACTAGCAGCTTCCACGGAACTGCAACCGCTCGTCTGGTTCTCGGTCGTCGGTCTTTGTACCTCTGGATGAGACACCCGATCTACCTGCTGGCTGCCCATCCACGGATCCCCCTCCGTCTCCACCGCATTGTGCCTGGCGCCGATCGCCGAGTTGTCCTGTATCGCCTCCTGATGGTTCACCGGCGGTCCAGGCTTGTCCCGGTCCAGGTCGTCTTCGAACTCTAGGGATGTCTCCGTGCCGTAGAGTACTAGCTTGAATTGTTCTAGATTGTCTGGAACATTACGAGGTTCGATTTAGTTTTGGGCTCTGGGCGGAGATGTCTTTAACACTTTGACTGCCACGTCACCCAAATATGGGTGACACGTACATTGAAAAGTGTCTGGATTATTTAAACACTGTTATAAAATGTTTGCATGAAATTAATGTCGCAGTATAATTTAAAACAAGACCTACAGTCTCTGATAACTAAACTCAAATATTTTCGACAATTTATGACTTAAAAAACGAAATAAAGTGCGTCTGGCTACTACGGCCTTTTTCACTGTGGCAGTCAACGTGTTAATGAGACAGAGACGACTGATGCATCTTGGTAAGATGATCTTTTTGGTGCTGATTTTGATAGTTTTTTTTTTGTAATGCAATTGGCAATATTCGGATTGTGAAACAATGATTTTCTTGCATAATGGAATTTTATTTGTGAATATTTTGTGCTTTATTGCAATCACTGGATTCAGCCGTATCTCTGTCTCATTTGCGATTTATTTAGCTACGAAGTAAGAATAATCTGAATTGAGACTGTTCAATGGGTTCTTCTGTATTAATATGATATTTGCATTGGGATGGAGAACAGGAGATTGTGGGTAACAAATATAAAATGTGTAGGTGATCATGCTAAAATTCAGGGGTTGAAACGTATCTACAAGATATCTAATGTGTAAATCGAAATGAAATGTGTACTAACAGCGAATCATCCTGGAACGAGACTTATTAAAACATATTTAAGCTGTAAATAGTACTATAATTTTTACCGAGGAATCTCCTGAAGTTTCAAGCTTACTTACAATCACTATATTTCGAAATAGTTATCCTAACTGGTTCAACATGCTAGCTCAATAATAAAAGCTGTAAAGTACATTCTGAAATACATATATTTAAATCCATAAATAATCTCATTCAAAAGATTGGGAGTGGGGAATAAGGAATGAAGCTTACAATAATAGCATTATTGCCTATGAATACATATTTATTTGAGTGTTCTAGAAAATAATGGTTCATCAAATCACTAGTATAAAACGTTACGGACCATTCTTGCGATATATGAAAAATAAATAATTTGGAATAAAGTGATTAAAGCTGCACAATATTCTTTAAGACACTCTAGTACCTACTTCGTACAACGCTAGAAGTGTAGTATAAAAAATAATACAGGTATATATATACAGAATAATATTAAATATAACCAAACTAAAGAACATGATGGCATCAAATAATTCGTATCTCGTAGATATTACACACCGTCCCGTTGTTTACTTTGTGGTGTCGTTAAATAATTATGCACGGAAGACATCTTGCAGATCCTCGTCCTAGAAAAGCGTCTGCTGCAGAAACTTTGATCAAAATTTAATCTCCGACACGATGGGGGTCTCGGTTCGCTTATTTTTTTTTTCTTTACCACAGATCGCGCAGGAAAATTACGTCCTTGTATAATCTGATCATAAAATCGTACTGAATTATATTTCACAAACGAATATTTTTCTTCTTTTCTAGAAAAGAATATTTGTAATAAGATGAAATTCAGTTCTATTTACAATTGATAGGGTCACGATAAACAGGAGCATCATTTCAACATTTCAACATCTCAACAGATGTCTATGCAAATTTGTTTTACTAAAATTTGGAACCGAAGTAAAATGTGTTTGAGCAAATAATTAGTGTTTCAAATCGAGAATATACTAAAAATTGTATCGATCTTTATGAAAGTTTATTTCATTGTGTTTTGCATGATTGTATCTGAGCATAATTAACTCTAATAACAATACTGAAAGAACGTTATTCACATATGACTATACAAGACTTCAATACAAACAGTCCGTCTTAAGTTCAGAATATATCGAGTTTACAAAGTGTAACAAATACAGTAAATTTGAAAGAAATCTGAATGTATCTTTTCTATTTGAAAATAAAGATTTTCTAACAAGCATTGTTCTCGTTCTGAAATTTTCAATCAAAAGGTAATTAAAGGGAAATTTAAGGGAACGAAAATAACTTCAGAAGTCCGTGAACAATGAAGTAGAAATTATAGACCTTCAGAATCGATTGTCTTCTCTACAGGACTCATCCCTGAGCCATTTGTCTATCACAATGAAAGCCATTCGCAAAGGCTATAAAATGTCAAATACAATTTGCAGCGTCAGAATATTAACACTAGAAAGACATCATACATAACGTGTAATCTACGTCATCTCGTGCGAGATTAAATGTAAATAAAGGGTATTGGCATAGGTAAATTACTTTGATTAAAATCTTCTTCTGCGATTCTTTATAGTTAATATCTTTGATTTGAACGCTCGACAGCTCACGATCGATATACTGATTAATTTTCTGGAATTATGATTGCTGAAAAATCATTGCAAGATAATTAATTTTCGTGACTGTATAAAACGTAGCTTTATAAATACAGCGTTACAAACAACTTCACAATTTTATATATGCATAGCAATTAAGTAATTATCAAGTTTATTTGCCAAGTCCAAGATATGCTTCATGAAATAGTAAAATATGGTTATTCGATTTGCTCGGAAAGAAATGTTCTTTATGTTACCAAATGAATTTCTCAATGTTTCTTTACCTGTAGGTATTATTATTTTAATTACAGAGAAGTATATTGCTACGTGTCACAAGTTTTCCAATATTAGATACTATATAGGTGTTAATAATTTAATTAATACCGCACTTCAGATCTACGCGCATGCAATACAATTTCAGTCATGAGAAATTGTTTTGCAGTGGTATTGTTGATGACCACAAAGTGTTACACACCGTATACCTCGATACTGTTAGTTTCTAACTGGCAATAAGTGGACTTCCTAGTTCATTTATGCTCCCAGACCGGAAATCACATTAAAACGCTTTACTCTCATTTCCATGTCCGAGCAACCACGGACAAACTAGTTTATTTCAGCTTCGTGGTGGAGGGGAAAAACAAAACTTCGTGTAGAAGCATGGAATACAGCTTCAGATAAATTAGATTAATTGGCGACCCGTATGATCCTTCCTCCGCGGAAAAATTAAATGAAATGTCACGTTTCTGCCGACTGTTCAGATTTTCCAGACAAAGATGAAAGTAATTTGAAAAAATATGGAAAAATTTATAAAATTCAAAGTTTATAATAAATTTATTAAATACTTGTACGTCGAAATAACAACTAAACTCTAAAAATATCAAAACAGATGAACAGAGGGATCATTAATGATTTAATAAATTTTTGTAGTGTTTGTAAGGGATTAAATAAACGATAATACATGTGCCGTGTTGCAATATCTGTGCAATTTCTACTAAACACACATTCCCATGCATACAAGCGATTCTGGAAGACAAGCATTACCTGCAGGGAAGTCATTCGAAGTTTTGATTAAACTGCCTGCATACACCTACCTTCGTAAGTTTTCTTATTATGGCCGAAGGACTTTTTAAGAAGCTGCACTTGAATCATTACGCGGGAAAGTTTGCCCGCGTCATAATTAATAAGTTCACGGGGAAACTGACATGCAGATAAACTATAATCGAGAATATTTCGTTCGCGTGGCGTTGAAGTATATTTGCAGCGATGATTTTCCGAAATGTACACTGAATTCAATGTGGAGGTCAAAAAAGGAATTATGGATTGTTATAATTCTTATACTAGGTCGGTTGAAAATAAATGCCTATCTAGAACATATCTATGTTTTCGTTGTGAGTGTTCCTATGGCCAACTGTATTAAGTAACTCCGATAACTGTTCATTATAATAAATATTAGATTTTATGGAATTTAAATAAATTATAATACACGCTATACTGAAAGACGTACATGAATTGGTAATTTAATTTGTGCTGTTATTCATGAGTTTATCTTTCATGGCACTGACTCTTTCAGAAACTTTAGTAAAAAGTAGTAATAAATTCTGAAATAAATTTGGAAAACAACTTATAGTAGTCGCTTAAGTAATATTCAGGAACAATTATAATAGGAATAGCCACTTAGGTATTGCTTCAGTGCTGGTATTTGCACATCAGGAAGACGATGAGAACTACTGTGGTGCAAAATTTTTCTCGATTTTTCGTAAACTGATAAAAGTTCGCTTAAAAAGACTACTAAACCATGTCAACTACTCTTCCTTTGTTTAACTAAGATCCGCAAACTGTATTTTCTGTATAGACACAACGAAAAATCGTAACCGGTTCGTTACGCCGTTATTGATGATAACGCTGCAATGTATAAATAAAATACTGGACACTCGTCTCGAAGTGTTCATAGAAGCACAAAATACACAATGTAAATCATACCAACGAAACAAAAAAACGATGACGCAGAAGTGCAATTGCAACGACTACAGAGCAAACGAAAGAAAAAGAGTTACACGAAAGCCCAACTTCTACCAAGTACTACTTAATGTCGTCGCATTTCACATGGGTGCACATCTATCGTATAAAAGTCACTACTGTTGCGAAACCCAGCAAACGACCGCGCATAACACGGATCCGTGAATGTAGGTGCGGAAATATGAAAAGACGAACGTCGTGTTCGCGCTTACACAAAAGGGACGAATAAACTTCTGTTTCAGTGATCCCAGTGTACAAGAGAATAGGTCTAATCTTGAAAAAAATAACAACTAAGTTAAGACATTAAAGTCTCGTTTGCGATTCATGTGCGACTACCGTCACGCAACATCCACGGATAACTAATTACACAACTGTACACCCTCGTGAACGAGTAGCATCGGTAAGTGGAGTACCCTTGTCCAAGGTCTTCGAATCGAACATCTGTTCGTCCTGCAGCAGTTCCAATCCCTTTGCCCTGGTCGCGTGTTGTCCAGTCCCACGCACCCCGGGATAGATAGGATACAGTGGATAGAGCTGTTGGATCTTAGAGTATTGTTGGAAGATCTCTGGCACGTTCTCGATGACAGGCTTCGCTGGTGGCTCCAGGAGGATTAAGCCCCTCTGAAGGGACGAGGCAGTGACTGCGTTCACGATTCTCTGTCTACTTGTGATTCGGGTGGTCGGGACGGTCGTGGTTGGCCTAGTCTGGGTTGGCCTGGTCTGGGTGACTATGGTGGTGGTCGTGATCGGGCTAGGTGTACTTCTTCCTCTTGGTCTGGACGTAATCAGCCGAACATCACCGACAATGTTAGGCCCTCTGCCTGCGTTCAGACCTCTTAAAGTTTGCACGGTCGGTTTTAACGATGGTTTGTTCGCCGATTTTCCATTCTTGTGCTGACCCCGAGACTTCCCCTTCCTCTGCGTTTGGGTCTGAGCGTTCACCACGTACGGCGGACTAAGATTTCCAGTTTTCTCGGATTTGTGCTGGGTCTGTTTGTTCTTGGAGCCTGTCAGGGAATTTTGCGCCTTCGAGAAAACGGTTTCCCGAGGCTTCACGAACGGTCTTCTAGGGATGCCTATGCCGGCAGGACTGTATAGTTCGTATTCAGTACGATCAGGCAGCGTTGATGTCCCGTAGAAGATTAGCGCCCACTCGTGAAGGGTCGCGCGACCTGATTTGTCCAGTCGTCGGCACAGGAGGCAGCAGGAAATTAGAGAATTGCAGTTTGAGTAATGATTAGTAATAATATGTATAATTTGGGTGGAATTTTGACATGCAACGAAGTTTTATCTAAAAGATCCCTAGAATTTTATACTCTGTCGAATTTACATCGGTACATGTGGTAGTTAATAACAGTATTTCGTAATTTATGATCCATTAAATATTTCACCCTTAGGTGGACCATTTTAATTATTAATTGATGGGTGTAACGGTACGTTAGACATACATTGTTAAATGATCCAAGTCTACAAGCCTGGTTCGTTCAGAGAGATCTAGATGACGGATAATACACACAATACTAGAGTTGCTTGAAATCTTACTTATCCCCGAAAGCTTTTGTATTTAGATATGAAAGAAATCTTCGTTTCAGTATAGATTAAATCTCGAGTAAGTAAATGTATGTCCACCAATATTTGCTCCAACTATATTTCGAATAGGGTAAGACTAAGTTTCACGTGTAATAAAACTAGTTCAAATTCAATCAACGTTAATATCGCTATAACTGATTGTAAATTTATCAGCTTATCTAAGATAAACTTCTTTTTACAAATGTACCCATTTTTCCCCCAATTTTTAGCAATTGCCACCGCAACGCAATCCATGTTTAGCATCTTTCTTATCAATACAATTTAATAGAATACATCGACATCATTCGATCAAACGATTCAAGGACAGCCGTAGGAACCTCTCAGCCTGAAAGTGGCAGCTGATAAGCCGGCCGGTGACAAGCGGCGGCCAATTGAAGCGCGGTCAATCATCGACGATTATTTCCGAACGCGTCGATAGGATTCCAGAGTGGCACAATATTGTCCTTTGGCCAATGATAACGAAGCGGGCTCCTGGACGGCGTGTTCGCGGAATCAAAGCAAACACGACGTCCGACGGTTTAAATACCTGTACTTGGAATGTACCCCGCGCATTATTGCGAGACAATAGAGCGAAGATCCACCTTGTGCGGGGAACACGGCGAACTACAAGCCCGGGGTTGACTCGAACTTTATGCACCTATCGGCTTTAACTGGCTTCTGGCTTGAAGTGGCTCCAACGGTTCCACCCCTGCACAAGGTCAGCTGCCCCTCAGTGGTTCGTGAGACCCCCCGCCCGTTGGTACTGGATGCCATCGCAGGGGAACACGCTTCGAATATGGAATTATGCCCTTGGGAGGTGGATGCAGCAGCTTAGACGATCCCACGTGCACGGTTTACGAGAGAATACTCTTCATGTTCACGAAGATGAGACGATAAGATAGCAGATGGCTGTTACTGCTCGCGCTACGTGTTATATAATCTATAGAACTAGCGTTAAATGACATCGCTCGTGTGTTACGAGGAATTTCAAGTTTATGCGGGCTATCGATACTTTATGAAGGTTTCGTGCCAATCAGAACGTACCCATACGTCATCCAGGGATAATTACTAACCATTCCTTTTTCAGTGATACTGTTTATATACACTCGATAATTAGGATTTGATAGTTAGAACCACCAAGATGCTTTCGCCGTGTAAAACTATAAATTCGAAGTGGTCGTTGTACTGGCAATCATCTCGTTAATATGCAACGTTTTCGTGACGACCAAAGACATTTTGCAAACACCTGCGCCTTAAATACGTCTGGCGTATAAAAGTTGGTACCAGGGAATTTACTGTGCACGGATATACAAAACTGGTGACGCTCCATTTAAGGACAAATTTTACGTAATGAACTTTACGCAGCCATTAGGTTTAATGGCGTTGTAACAGCGGCCTGAAGTTGTCTTAATACTTGAGCAAGGTGATTTGCTTCAGGAGGACAGAGGCTCTACCGCTAGAGGAGTAGTACTACAAGTTCCGAATCATCTCGGAGCGACTGGACGAACTTTGTCATATATAAGAATCCTTGTAGTCAGAAATACTAAACGGGTCGTGGAATTCTGTTGAACCTTCAGAGGCACAACTTTAATGCCTTGGTACAAAGTGTGCACATTGGGCCAAAGCTTCGTGTTTATCTGTCATTAATTGGTATCTCTCGAAAATCCAAATTGTGTAAAATTGCTTCTATATTACTAAATTATTACATTTACATTATAGAAATTAAAGAATATTAGTAGTTTGTGGACCTTTGTGAAAAGTCATATTTTTAAAGACCAATTTACAGAAACAGAAATTAACTCTTAACTGATAAGATGGAGTCCAGGGAATTCCATGAATATTTGTAAAATATTTCATTTTGAACCAATAGTTACTTAAAGAGATGCTTGTCGGTTGTAGTGAGTTATATTAAAACGATCCTTGTCAAATGTTTTGGTTTTTGTGACAACAAATTGTAGTAATCAAAAACGAGAGTCTTAACCTGGTAGAACCTATACTGTCAAAAACGACTTATGTATTGATTTAATTCGAAGATGAAATTGTCTCTTAAGATTCTTAAAGAAGCTAGAATATTGTTTTACTTTCCTGAAAGAAAACAAAAATTGATAAGGGTCATTTTTCTTATAAGCCCCTCGATTGGTATGACTCACATATAAGTTACAGATTTTACAAAAAAATTTAGGTAATATGATGTACATCTGGAACATGAACTGCCAAGACAAAGCTATTCTGAACTGTATATGGAACTCCAGAACGATAGTTATGTTCTACGACTCACGTGTCGGTCATAACTTACAAAGTTGACACAATTCTAACCTACATGTGGATTGCAGATCCTCGAAATTCAGATTGCTAAATAGAATTCGTCTCGAAACAGTAACGGTGTTAAGTACTCAAGAATCAGTTCATCATGATTCAATGTATCATTAGTAAAAATCTAAATTTGATAAATGTTCATGAACTCTGCAATGTAGATGTTTGCAGGATGTACAATGCTGCTCAAGAGTATCGGGCACTTGATAGGTTTGACGTAATAAAACGTACCAAAGTATTAACAAAAGAACTTTCCACTATCTTCTTATGGAATAAGAAGGTTATAAATTTGAAGCATTTATAGAGGAATATTAGTCGCATAATGCTGTCCTCATTAATCATGGTAATCATTAACCAGTTTATTCAATGTCGCAGAATTAACATCTTCAACGTTCAAAAGAATCCTTCATATTAAATTAAGAGCGTGACAATTAAATAACCAGAAGGGAGACGAATTTTCCAATTAACAATATTTTAAACTATTGTTTAATTAGGTCCGAGGCGTATCAATTTTATTATAGTATAATTTTCTATTCTTTTCTATTATTTTTAAATCACTTGTATTAGAAATAAATAAATGTCCGAATACGTTGGAGCAGCAGTGTAAAATACTAAGTATTGCTATTCGTCTGGAAACACTGTACGCGAAGAAAGGAACAAAAAGATCCAAATACAATAGGCTCACCTTGATATCGACCCTCATTGTGGATTTCTAGTTTCCACGTGCCGTGCGGCCTTTCGCCCCAAGTGTGAACCGACATAAATGGCCATTGATTGAAACCGGCTTTCGAGATGTCGTGCGGCCTTTTCGCGAGCAGGGTGCTCTTGGTGCCTTGCGGAGACGTTAGTTGTATCTGAAGATCCCCTCTTCTCGAGGCCATCAGAGACACCTTCGCCTGCGACAGACGAATAATCGATGGATGCATATGGAATGTTGCTTTTGCATTGTTTGAATCTCAAGACGTGACAATGTTAAGCCAGAGATCCTTGAAGCTTCCGACTCCGTAGCAATTATTTCAGAGTATCTTCCGAATCTCTTCGTGTACTCATTATACGCCAAGAATTGTATACTTGGGAAATTTTGGTAAACACTTAAAAATAAATTACTTAAATTCTGGCAAGTGAGAGGATACCTCATTAGAACTTCGGTTTGACTATCCACTTCCACATATTAGAATTAACAAGATTGACTACTTTGTGTTTTGATTCTAGTGTGACGAAAATATAAGAACTGTCATTAATGTCAATGAATTTTTTTATGTGAAGATACGTGGAGATTATATAAATATTGACAGTTGAGTGTATTGAAACATTTTAATAAAAAAAAAAAACATTTTGAAATACATTCTATTTACAAACTTTGGATTGATTATTCCGTTTTAGTAATATTAACCTATGCTATACTTTTCTGTATCAATTTTTTGGATATTTATTAAGAATTAAGTAATAATTCAAACTTTTTGTAGAACCATCCAGTACGTGCCAGACTAGCCAGAGATACAGGATGGAAATTCATGTGTAGATGACTTTAGTTAATCTACGGACTAAGTATGCTAAATTCTAGTGAACTACTACTTAATATAAAGCCGAAGAAATACATGTACTCATTTAGAATCTAATTAATTCAGTCTTTATCACATCATAAATAGATTAAATGACGTTAGTTCAATAAATGTTTCGTAGACTGCGAAATACATTAATGACAATTTTTCGCGTGAAACGTAGTCGTAACCGATTCAGTGGAAAACTATTAGACTGCAGCTTACCTGAGTGACACGGTACTTACCTGCACGTGCTCGAGAAAATTAACACCGCTACACTCCTTGACGTTCAATTCCAGAGTTAACTGGCTCTTTGGTGGTATTGGCCTATAAAATACGTGAAATTTAGGTCAGTCATGGAAATGGAACATGAGAAATATATCAAATATTTACGTTCTTTTAAATGTCCAATTCCCCGATTTTAATGAAGCAATTATAATACTATATGTATACTTGGTTCCTTCTCATTTTATTATGAGGCTTTTCGGGTGGATTTTACTGTCAATAATACTTTGATAGAAAAATTGGTAACTTTTAGGTACATATTGAGTCGGTCGCTAAATTTAAGAAGCTGTTCATGGAAATCGGTGCTAGCAAACAAAATCAGCATCAAAAAGTCGTTAACATATATTATCCTGCCACGTTGTACGTGGTCATTTATTTTACAATATATAGTTTAAACTCCATTTTCAGCTTTAGTGCATTTTGCAATATGTGGGAAATTACCTTATATCGTAGGAATTTAACTTTCACGACGAAAAGGACAAAATAAATAAAAGCACAAGTTTAATAATATAGTAGAAGGAAAATTTGCAAATTACAGGAAACTGTGCCGAAAACAGGTAGCAAGCGATGAAATATATGTTCTGTAGCAGGTTTAGCCGAATGTTATTTATTTGTGAAAAAAATAATATAAAAGAACAGGTTACACAACGATTAGATTAGGATATATATTAGAAAACACTCTCAGAGTTTACATTATTTTACTACTACAAAAGGAACGGTTTTTTAAAAGTTCGAAATCGTAATTAATGTACAAATATAACATTCCAAAATTACACGGGGTTATATTAATGTGAATGGAATATCTAAGTGTTATTGCAAATAAATTTGCAATAAATGTGTACATAAATTTACCTGCCCGTGTGAGGTGCTGAAACTTCACACTTGTGTTGCTCCGGTACTGTCCGCCATTTTCTGGCTAAACGTACCATGGCAGCGGCATCCATCAACCCATATCCGAAACTGTGACTCACTGTAACAGATTCAAGAAAATTTTACTGCAGTCCACTAATTTATCTATTTTTCAATTGCACATATCTTAATTTTCGATTCACGTGTTATTAGAACGTTAATTACCGGAAATGACGATTAGTTAGGAAAAATTGATTATTGCAACACAAAACAAGTCACGTATTTATAGCATCAAAAGTCCTATGCTAATACAGTTTGGGACTTGTACACATTTCCTTTTGCAGTTTTGTAAAAGAATTGATTTAAAAGATTGGACCTATTTGTCAGCTTTCTTTGGGTCGGTGATTTTAATAAAACCTTTGGGACAAGTAGTATGCTTCTTCCTCTTTCAAAATCACCTTCCCATATAGGGTAATATACTCAAAAATTTCTGAGTTATTCAGTTCTCAAATTTTCCGCGTCACTTAAATACACTTTACGTCCCTTCAAAAGATTTTTGGATGTACTTGGAACACATGTGCACACTGTGCATCACAACAAAAACCACAAACGTTGCCTCAACGATACATCCGCAAATAATCGATCAACACAACTTCCACTTAAGTCACGCGGAAAATATCAAAAGCAAATGACTCATAAACTTTCGACTAGAAACTCATACTATATGTCGTAAAAGTTTCACTAAAATCGGCGCCCCAAAGTTGGGGTCAGAGACGGGCAAATTCATTATCTAGATAAAAAGTTTCGAATAACGAATAAAAAATAAAAGAAACATTTCGTTATTTTTACTTGATTGAACATGGTAATTCCAACTTTCATCATAATATAATATTTCTTCTAGAATGATTAGACACTTTGGAAACAATCATTGAATCTTATGAACTGTTTAAAGGTCCGGACAACGACCTTAGATACTGCTGCTTCGCACTATGTATTATTCGAATAAAATTATGCCCATCTCTGGTTGGGGTTCTCTCCCTTATCAGTCGCTATGTACCGAGCATTCGCAACATTGAGTATCTCAGACCGATTATCCTTCGAACCGCTACCCCAAACCGGATTTGCCTCTCTATTGACTGCTTATCTGCTGCAAATGAAACACTCCAGACACTTCGAACTCACCATTCCTCCCAACGGCGTTTGTCACCCAGTCCGGAGCTCTCAAGTTCGCCGGTTTCGCTGTTCTCACAACTATATGCTGCATGTCCCTCCAAGTCAGCTCTTTGTTCGCCTCGAGGGCAAGGGCGCAAATACCGGCGGCCAAGGGCGCCGATGCAGACGTTCCCGTGTGACTGCTGGTGCAATGGTTATGCAGGTCGGTGGTCACCACTTGCTTCTCGCCCGTCGAGCCGGAACTGTAAGTGGTGGCTAGGGTCGAGGAACAGGCCTCGCTGTACCATGGCACCTGACCGTTTTCGGTGGCGCTGCTGATGGACAACGTCCAGATGCTGTTCGTGTAGCCGTCGCAGTTGCAGTTGTCGTGGTCCCTGCCGCCGTTCCCCGACGCCCAGACGAAGATCGACCCTTTGCCATTGCGACCCTGGCGATCAAAGGGAGGATCTCGGTGAATCGATTGAACGTGTCCCATCGAACGTCTTCTTGTTAATTGGAGAGCGGTTAAGTAAGTTCGGATTAATTGAATTTTGAGGGTAGATCGTGACCTGAAGAATTTTAGTAGAATGTCCTTGTAATTATGAATTTTATGGAGAACGGAATGAACGATGATGGTTTCGTAGGTAATTTTCGTGTTTATTCATATAGTAAACACTCTTGTCCGTAAATTACTACACACTTATGTAACTGAACATGGAATAAGAAAGAGTTAAAATGTTACTGAAATTATGAAATACTCGAATTCCTATTAATTTTAGAGATCGTAGAGAAAATGTAAATTACGTGTAATCAGTATTGATAATAATCTTAGACATCTATCATTTCTTCAAATTTCAATCACATTTATCTAACTGAATCGTGGCATTTTAACGGTGAATTTTTTTGTACAATTCCACTGAAATTCATTTGTAATCACTTCGCTATGGTGCAGTTTTGTTGCATTGTAGTATGTAATGTAGATATATTTGTGTTGTTTGCTACTGCATGTTGGTCAAAGAGTATGCTGATATAGGAGCAAGATAACAGGTAATTTGAATTTAATCAAATTTTGAGAGATAGTAAAATTGAAGGGGTTGAGATAAGAGGTAAATAAATGTAATTTAATTTCCACTATCTCCAAGGATATAATAGGTACTTTTGCAAGTAGTGCGGTTTTTATAAGAATCTACTCTGGCCGAGTAGTAAAGGAATTGTCCATTATAAATTGTAAATATTAATATTAAGCTAAATCACAAATTATATCATGAAATTTGTCACAACATTAGAACAAGAATGATCATTTCTGATATATTGTTCACAAAACCTCATACATATTAGTAGTAAAATAGATAAAGAACAGATGAAACAGTATCAATGTACGTCTACTATAAGTAGAATTATCGCGCAATGGTCAGACATGCTAGCCAAGTCTTACGCTTCATAGTTCTTTTTAAAAAATTCTTAAAAGATTTCCATTTCGCTTTCATTTATCTATAACATTAACAGAAGTATTATATAAGTTAGGATGTATTGAGATAAGCAATACTGAACTTTTTACACTGTTAATATAATTTTGCAATTCTTTAAGTCAAGAATTGTATTTTACAATTTTTCATGCAATATTTTTTGACGATTCACTCATTACTGTTTACCTCTTCCTGTTAATATTACATTTGAATATTATTTAATATTACATATTACATTTTGAATATCAGATACGTTATGAATATTTATATTTTTCTGGTCAGCTGCAATTGTTGTGTAGTGGACATAAAAAATCGGTTTACCTGTTGGACCTAATGTGACTTATTCAATAATGAGGTATTACAATTAGGCATCGCGGTGTTTATTAGCTGCAAATGTTTTTTCCAAGTACCGCCAGTTGAAAATTGAATATACCCACGCCGCAACGACTCCGCGAAGAGTTCCTTGCAAATATTAAGCTGTTTAGCATATACGGGGTTCTGCACAAACTGTCACGAGCAGAAAGTCTCTTTATGAATATTTAACGGTTAACGTTCTGTCGGACAGAAGTGCTTTAAATACAGAAGTAATAGTAATTATATCGGAAAGACGAATACATATTTGGGAATGACTTGTGAAATTATGAAATTTTGAAAAATTATATAACATTTTCCGTTATTTTTAGAAGGGAAAATACGAGATGTTTCGAATTTAACCTGTGGCACAAGTTTATTTAAACATAATGTATTTTTTATTAAAAATAAAAATGAATTAAAAATATAAAATTAAACATTTATCGATTAGTTTAATCATATGGATACATACTGGAACAAATAAGCATAAGGTACAGACTATGAACTAAACCCTGATTGAATAAGTTATTCTTTTAGAATAAAGTGACGGAAGGAAGCAAGGAGAAGTTTCATTGGACTAAGTTAATTTGCAATATAACGTCCTGAAGTGTTTACTTTTAGAGTGTACTCTGCTTGCATATAAAACTTACTGCAGCGTACTTAATAAAATCCAGTTTCCGTGGAAAATAAATATCTATTCCGTAAGTTTATGAAAAGGAGGGAAATTTACATATTGAAATAAAGTTTATTTTTTAACCTGAATCATAAATATTTCAATGCATCAATCGATGTTGCTTGCCATTTTCGGTAAGCAAATATGAAGCTGTTTATACCAAAAACCCATTAATTTAGGAGAAATTTCAATTTTAACATTACGGAGTGTCCTACTTCGGCATAGTTAGTACGCGTGACATCTAATATCTTATGCTTGTACGGAAGGCCTGGCAACTAGTTTCGAAAAAGACGTCAGAAAGGATTGATAGGTCATTTAGAGACCGACTAGATCTCTGCATTTAGGTTGAAGGACAAAGTTTTGAACATTAAAAAGATAAACATAGTATTAATAAGTATCATTTCACAATTTTTAAATTCAAATATCTCGTAAACTAGTGTTTTTTTGGCGTAAGTACGCTACATCAATATTTTCAACCTCACGTATAAATAACTTCCTTATGCTACAATTAATTTTTTATTCAATACTTCCTACTAAAGCTAACAGTATCCACCTGCTTTATAGGTTCTATCCTCTATATCTCCTATCCACGATACTATAACCATTCGCACCTTTATTATTGAAATTCCCAAAACACCTTTAATGTCGCCCATCGAAAGGTCACGTGTACCATTCCAAGACCAACGAGGCGATGCGAAAAACCGCGATGAGCCCGATAATTTGCGTTACCTAGCGAACGTTAATGGTCCCGATAATTATCCGGGCAATCGAAAGGTGATTCTTTCGTCCGTCGAAATGGTAGTTGCCTGGGACAACCGTAACTCGATTATGTAGCGGAACGAGGAGAAAGTTCTTCGTCTAGACCCGAGCTTAACAGACTCGGCCGACCGGGAGGTCAGCCTGCAGAAAGTTTCTAATTGGCTGCTTTTAGACGAACTGTCCCCGCGACACCGCACCAGCACACATTACCATTTTAACCTTCCCCGCGGCATGTGGCCGGCATAAGTCATATGCAAATTTCGGAAGGTGCTCCGGCCGCGGGAACTCGTTAAAACACTGCCGAGGGAAAATAGAATCCAACAAAGCACGATTTCCAAAACTCCTGGGCCATTCGAGGAGTTAACACGCGGCCAATTAGCTGCGCCATTTGGGGAGGAATATGGGGGAAAGTAATTAAGTGATCGTATTTCTTCGGTGGGAGTAAGTTATATAAATAATTTAAATTTTTTAGGTATTTAATATTTCTAATAAATTCCGAGATATTTGACAGAATACTAAAAAAAAAAATATGTATGAAATATTTTCATGAGAAGTACAATTTCACAGAGTTGTAATAAAATTGACGATTGTCAATTCTGTTGTGAGTTCACGGTTGCTACGAGGCCGAAGAAATTGAGACATAAATAACCGAAAAGACCGCTCCGGCCTCTAGAAAGGTGGTCGGACGGGGCCAAGCAGAGTCAATTCACACGTGTCGGTGAAATTTTTTCCCTGTTCTTCGAGGAAAACAATGTACATTGTACTTTCCAACTCGAAGCAACGGGTACGTTGGTGGTTCTCTATATTTCGGACATTTTCAAGCCGATGCACGTGATGTCTGTTTTTTATCTCGAAGCAGTAGGTACCCTGGCAATAAATTAACGGGCTACGCGCCTTGGTGAAACTGCGCGACGGTTCTTTCATTCCACTTCTGCAAAGCACGTGTTTTCCTAAAACCGTTGGTTTCTTTTTACCTGAATCTTGTCGTGGTGGGAGTGAATTCACAATGTAACGATGGGAAACTACTTGGGGGTAGAGGAAGCCCTTTCGGAAAAATTCTGTCAGTCGGATAGCAACAGTGCGACAGAGATGTTCAGTTCACGGGAGTATTACGCAATGTTCAGGTGATATGTGCAAGTATTTGACTAAGTAAAACATCTGATAAATTGAAAACAATCGGCCCTTTCCGGGGCTACGAATTTTCCTAACGTAGGAACAACACGTTGCATTAAAAATACATTAAGTGATTCTGTCGGGTGATCAGTGTTAGTGGTCGTGCAGTGAAGTGAGTACGTATTCGGTGGAATAACCAGGACGCACTTTACGTTACAACCCTTAACTTCGGCTGGTGAGGTATACCTGCGATCACCTGCGACCAGGATCGGTTCAGTGACCTAGTGACACAGGTTTGCAAACTGCAGGTGAATTTCCGAAAGGGTGAGTTCTAATCAATTTATTGCTGATTATTATTTTTTTATTTTAACGCAAGCTATGACTTATTTCCGGCGATAATTCTGCAAGTTTCTGTACCTAAATTTTTTTTCGGGCTTTTCGAAGAAACTTATTCCTTATCAGTAACATTGTTGTCCGTTATTAAACTACGAATTTTTATACCAATAGCGAACTACGATCACTTTTCGTTCATTCTCTGTTACATTAGCTTTTCGTTCACACGTTATTCGAAAAGGAAATTTACAAATTCGTAAAAAGGAATTTACTACTCCACTTAATTGTCCAACCCGTCAGACCATATCTTAAATAAATTACACACCGGAAACAAATAATATTATTACCATAACTGTACAGCAGACTCAAAACTTTTATCTATGCTTGCAAGTCGAATAATCCTCCACTTAATTGTCCAACCTGTCAGACCATATCTTAAATAAATTACACACCAGAAACAAATAATATTACCACCACTGTACCGCAGACACAAAGCAGTCAACACCTCGAAACTCGAAAACCACAAGAACTACAAAATAGCAGATCGAGCACGGTCGTAAAGGGGGCAATAATTCAGCGACACAAAACTCCGGCGTTGTTCAATCCGATCCAGATCTCTCTAAGCTCTAAATCAATAAAAAAAAAAAACAGCTTCGTACGAAACTCAGGAGGGATACAGAGTTACCGTACGAGTGTCGAGTTTTAAAGAAATCCCCGTAGAGAGTCGGAGACGAACGAGCATCGCTAGGCTCCGAATTACAATCGTTGGTCAAACAAAGGGGTAAGAGAACAATCGTTCTCGCGCGTCACCGACGTGTACTTCGTGTTTCCAACGTGTTTCATTTTCATTAACAGTCATCCATTTAATTCGCGACTGTATCGACGGTCTAACGATCGGTTTCTTAGTTCGATGGAAACCACCACTGGCTGACACGAGACGTGGGCTCTGGTTGTCTGAGAATCGAGATAAAGGGCACCTTCCGCGTGTATCTCTCGTCTGGCGAACGCAATCGAAGAAAGAGACTCACTTCCGAGCGACTGGCTAGGCGTGTACATCGAGATAACAATGAAGTAGGCTACCTTTTTTCCCCATTGTCGTCACACTGAAAGATCCCCGGGACTGCTTTTAGGTGATACATTCCTTGGGAAATTTCATTCCCCGGGGAAACGACTATTCCGATCGTATCGCAGCGACGACAGTCAGATCACAGACTACTCTAACGTTTTTTTTTTTGTATTACCCACGGAGTAACGAATATCCCCAGTTGTTCGAGGAGAACTCCTCCGAACGGAAACTGGTTCTATACGCGGTAAAACTTTATTCTTCGATAGCTGGGTTCGGGGGGAGGGGGCGACGAACAAGGTGGGACAGAGATCGAATAAAGGAATTCCGCGGAGTCTAGTCAGGTTCCCGTAAAGGAACCACGAGAAATCTATTTTTGCGTCTACCAACGAAGGAAACGTTTGATCGTTTCGCTGGATTCGATTAGCGATAAGGGCAGGTCTGGGTTAGGTTTTGCAAGCAGCGAAATGCTTCTTGGTAACTTTGTGGACGGTTTTGGATACATTCGTTGCAAGTCGTTTTCATTTATTTCGTACTTTGATGTGTAATTAAAAGTTTGTTTTTGCTGCATCTTGTATGTGGAATATTATTAGCTGCTGATGTGACATGTTAAATTTGTTTCGCTAACCTTCGTGACTCCTTCGATGAAAGCTCTGGTGGCAAGTTCACCAGGGCCATCGACTGTTTTCCCATCATCATCCGGTCCCCAGGAGGCACTGTAAATATCGATGTGCTGAGGATTTAGACTGAGAGACCTCGCCTCGACAGCATCCGTTACGTCCCCGTCCAACATTCTTACCCCTGAAAAAAAAAATAAAATGAAAAATATTTAATTAAATTTCTTGCGTCGTGTTCGATCTATCTATTACTTCTAGACATTTACTTCTGCTTGTTAGATTACTAATATTATGGAGTAATTAAATTCGTATCTATAGCAATATCATTTTTAGAAATTAAAAGTGTAATTTGAATAACTATTATATTGAACAAGCTTTAGTAATAATAACGTTTCAATGAAAAGTAATTTTAGTAATAATAGAAACTAATATTCGCTGTTTAAATTGTAGCAGCCATGATTTCCATTACTGTATTATTGTAATTAATTCACATTGCAGTTGTAGTTAAAACAGAATCACGGTAACTCGTACAGACATTACTTCAAGGTCTGTTAGGAGTAAGCAATTCCTGGATTCCGGTGTACTAAATATTGTTCGTAACTAGAGGCCACCACCGGCTACTGCGTCGATTACAGTTTTGAACTTACTTGCAATTACGGAATCAAGGCTAATTTCGACCCTACAATTTCGGTCTCTGTGACAATACACTCGCGAATCTTGTTAAATCTGCGCCACGTTTGGGTGATTTTCCCAGTTCATAGCAAATTATTCTCTCGATCCACTAACAGCGATGTTTTATCGAGTAACACGTATCACCGAAAATGTAACAGTCACAGGATGTTAAATAACTTATTGAAAGTTCAATAGTTTTGAAAATCACTGTAGACAATTTTTTTCAGAAGAGAATCATCCTGTGGTAGTGCTATGTTTAACATGAGAACAACCGCATCAATCAAAACGACTAGTCAGTACACTTTTAGATATTACAACACTGTAATTTCTAATACCTTTCACAACTTCTATTGCAATATTAAAAGGAAGAAGTTAGTTAATTGATAAGTTTGTATATTTTTAAAAATTCATCCTGTTTATTCATCACTATTGGAATAGATACACGTTTATTGTCGGTAGTTCTAGTGTTAAATGAAAAAGAAAATAAAAACATTTTATACAGACTGTTCTTCCCAACAAAATCGATCGATAAAACAATTACGTCATAATATAAATGCGCGTATTCTAGTTATTCTCTTTTAAATTCTAGTATTTCTCAGAATTCACGCCACTATCTCGAGAAAGGATATACTCGTTAAAAGAATCAGGTTCACACGAGAACCGGAGAGCAATTTTATTTCCATCGTTATTTCAGGGGATCGAAGACTTTGATCTATAAAAATAACTCCAGCAGCTCCAACGTTTTACGACGGTGCAGCTTTTTCTTTACGTACTTCAATACGATTCTTCTCCTGGTTCAAGGGGCTGAATTCGATTCCGTGCATAGACTTACCCCCGATCCCAGCTCCGAACGCGACGCCGACCGCGCAAATGGAATTATTAGCAGTTGCAGCCACTTCACCGGCGCATCTAGTCCCGTGCCGATTACTGTCCAAAAGATCGTATCTCGGCATTGGATCCTCGTCGTGGTTGTTAACGTCGTAACTGGCCTGCGGGTCCTGTAACATTCATTTGATTCTTATAGTGAATCGTGCAACCGGTTAATTTTATTGGGGCACGGTAATTGACGGGCGGGTCTCCTTACGTTGTTATTTTATTCTCTGGATAGCGTTTAATGGCAACAGACTGGATGAACCGATGCACACTGGTACATAATATATATTTATTTTTATCAAATCAGTCTACAGTTTATTATTCGAATACTCGAATTTCGAGTTGAATAATGATCCGTTGATTGAGCGTTTGAATTTTTCAAGCTACTTGAAAAAAATGCGAGGTACTTGAATACTTGAACGACTCGAATATTCCAGCGTTCGTAAGATTTTGATTTACTTAAAGATGAATTTTCAGCTTGAAAATTTTCGAATTTCTCGAATGTATTCGACCAGATATTTAACCTTCGAGTTACTCGTGAATATTCGAATTGCTCGAATTACAATAATAATTAAAATAAGCTCATTTTCGGAAATCCTGCTTCGCCATATTGAAGTTCGAAAATCTGACTTTAAAAAAGCCCACAGATATTGACCACCTTAAAAATCTGTACGTTTCGCTAAATATAAACAAACGAGCAATGAAATTGAAAATTTATATTATTGAAATGAGATTTTGAAGGTTTTAGTTGAAGCAGATCCATAAAACTTGTAGAACTCACTGTACAAACTGATAGAATTTCTATGACAATATCGAAACATTTAAACGAAATCGGCAAAGTATTAGAAATTCCAAAAGTGGGTCTTTCATGAACTGAAGAAAATTGATTTTTCATATGTTACGACCTAATATGTAGTTTGTAGATAGATATCTCAAGGTATTTTTATCTTTTCACTTTGTTAGAACTTTTCCTTCGTTTCTTTTTTATTTAAACTTAGATAGCAGTCAAATATTATTTGGGAATTTGAAAATGTAAGGATTAACACGACGACAGACTTAATTCTGCGGATGAACTCTATATCTACGAAGTACTTCCTAAAGCAGGAAATTCTTACATTTACAAATCTTCCCCGTTTGATTTCGAGAGGGAAACGAAAGGAGAAATCGGTGAATTAATATGTGAACTAGCGAACAGTGAACTACTTTTGGAATTAGCGGGTACAAGTTGGTTACAATTTCACGAAGTTTGGGGGGAATATCGATTTCCTATTGGTTTCGATGTAATTGCTTTTTCCTTCGGGCAGTTTGCAAGAAATTGTTTTCAAGTTCTCACTCCGATATTACGGTTTTCAAACTTGTCCATACGAAATAGGAACATAGTATTTCCCGCCTGACTAATTAATTTTGCTTCTAAACGGTCGTCAGTTTACATCTATAAAAAATTTGGGAATGTATAATAAATATAGGGAGTAGAGGTTGTTGCGTTTGTGGCACTGGCTGATCATTCGCTTCTGTATCAATTTTTTCTGTTCCTCATCATAGTTCGCCTATTAACGATACTATATGGTGGGAATAACGGAGTAATTATAAGGAGACAGGCAAAACGCAATTATAAGGAGGAAGATCGAACAGCGTGCTCAGGTGAGCTGATTCGTTTATTTAACGACAATTATACTGTTCAAGTACAAAATCAAAGTCAAATCATATTACGCCAACAGTGTTTAATTTTCTATGTCAATTCTGGCGGTGCTTCCTTCATTCACCATCAGAGGATCCTGAGATAATATCTTCTCATAGGTATCAGATTCGCCTACAGTTCCTATATCTATAAAAGATGTTTCATTTAATCTTATCACCTGAATTATTTCTGCTATATTTAACATTTAGTAAAAATGTTTCCTGCGGAAGTTCCACAGTCAATGACATACAAAGATCAACTTTGCTTTTTTATTTGAAATAGCCATTTTAAAGACAGATTCAATGACCCAGAACAATAAGTCATTTAAGATCATTAAAGATCGTATGAACGAAATTTTCTGTTTGTTTTTCGGCGCTAATACGAATAAATGTTCCGTTTAATCTCCATTTTTGAAGTGCCTATCGTCACTTAAAATTTATTCTGATCTGAAAACTTAAACAAAATTATTCGTTTAGATAATATATATTCAAAACTTTGAATTTTTTATTTAATTTTCCTATGTGATTAAATTCCCCATTCAAAAACACACAATTTTAGAACAGAGGATTGTTAGTCGATTACCATTTGTTTTGTAACAGTTGTTACATTGGTCCTGTGTTATTTTTATGCCGAGTCTCCCCTACTACATTCAATTTTGTCGTTAAAAACCACAATTTGTCTCGCCAACGTACTATTTTAAGAGTGTCCATTTCAGAAATTGTTAAATACTGAAAGTATTAAATAGCAAATACCAATCTGGATGAAATAGATCTTGAAGGCTCAATAGCTTTTATTTTGACTAAAATTTCGTAACCCGAAAAATCCGGAGAGACAGAGTTATTGGATAATGTACTTCTAAGTGCCCTATACGCTGAATCGATCGCAATATTTTCGATCTCCGACCAGTAGCTTCTATTAGAATCGGGCCGTATACCCGGCCCCTGATGTGTATCAGGTTTGGATCAATATCGGAGCAGCGGCCCGTGTCTGATCATGGACCTCCATATCTACTGCAAGATTATAGAGCTTTGTATGCATTTCTCTGTGGTTGCCTTATTAACCCCTGCCGTCCACCAGTAAACATACGGTTTGCGTGCGGTTCAAGACTGCCACTCGACACGCTGGCTAATTCTGAATTCTCCCGTAACTTCGATATCACGATTGCAAACTATCGCGATTTAACCCATTTCACGGCGTAATCTGCAAAATTGCTTTTCAGCCGCTTCTGAATATTGTTTATGGTGGCAGAAACGTAATATTGTATCGGTAAACAGGACAGACAAGAAATTTAAAGACAAAAATGGTCATAAGAATGGTCGTAGTCCGTTAGAATTGAAGATAGAAGAAAATGTTAAAGAGGAAAGTTGTACTGTTCAATGGAGACAAATATGATAATATAAAAAAATTTTCTGATTGTTGTCTTCAAGGTTTTGTGTAGGTCATCGCTGATTTTTTAAATGGCACCATATATTTTTTAACTTTATAGTGTAGTAGCTGATGTCAAAACAAGTATAATCGCGTTAAGAGTCTCAAGTTATATGAATATACGAGAAGAATATGTATTGTACTTTTTAGTGCTTCCTAAATAATTCTCACACTATTTTTTATTATGTATCTTATTTTAATTATTTCTATAGCATCAGGGAAAAATAGTTTCGCATAAAAGATATATTTTTTGTAAGTCAACCGAGGATACTATTTATTTAAGGGATACACAAATTTGTTAGACTAACTAAATGAACTAATTAATCATTCTAACTTCACAAAGAAACTCAAGTCACTTGATCTAATTTAAAAAAAAAGTTGTTTTGTTTTAAAGGATGTGTAAATAATTTTTTACCCACTATATTAAAAACGCCTATTAACGGTTATGAGGTAGGAAAAAAGTAAAAATTTGTTGAACAGTCTTCTCAAAAAAACTGCTTATCCGAATGGACTTGTCTTCCTGTTAGCTGGGATAATTGACGGTCTACTGAGATTCGCTTTGTTAGAATCATTTCTTGTCGCAGCCAACTTCGAATCGGATATTTAGTATGTCAGACGATTCGCGGGGGTTTCTAAATGACGGTACAGTTTTTGGCACGGCTCGGGCATTTGTCTGTGTCTATGTTTCGCGACACTCCGTTCCGTTTGTCCGTTCTGTTTGCATCGGAGTGACAGTTTGCTCTCTATCTTTGCGTAAAGTGGAACGGACCAGGACGAATTCCTCGGGCAATTTACGTCCTCTTTCGTATCGTGAAATATCGATACATGTCAATACGATACAGTGAAACGCTCTGAATTTGTAAAAATCGTACTACGAAGTTTTTTTGTATGAATAAAAAGAAGCGAATACTAACTGCTAAATAATATTCGACGACTTTATTTCAAATTAACTTTTACATACAGTAAATCCTGGATGAGTGTTCGAAGGCTCCTCGAAATTGAACATTAAATATTTCATAAATTACTAACTATATGCGGCGGGAATAAATTTCATTGACTTCAAAATTCCAAGCTCTATCACTGTGTTAAACCTCATTAAAAAGGTAGTGTTATACTTGGGGACCTGTTCTGGTCAATGCATAGGAGTCTTCAAACACTCACCGAGGATTTACTGGACATGTAATTTACACAGAGTACACTCAAATGCCAAAAATGAGTACAATTTTCTACTTGAACATCAAGATATAAGTACGTTACTTATACTTCTGAACTTTTCTACGATTACATTACGTTTTTATTAAACGGAATTTTATTATGACATTGTAAAGTTGTACTGTACGTATCGCAAACATTTAAGTTTTTATTTTGGCTAATTAAGCATTATACTTCACAAGGTGAGTTTATTTGAAGGAGAAATTCGTTTGAACAAGCACAGAGATTTAATAGAATAAGTGGATTATAATAACTGAATAAATAAACTCACATAATTTTTGTAGAGATCCGGATGATCTTTCTCCAATCCGTCGTCAAGTATCGTGACCACGACTCCATGCCCCGTAATTCCTTCGGCCCACGCTTCCTGCACGTTCATATCCAATCCGTTCCCCCTATTCTGAAACGAAGCATCGGTATTCACATTTGTTAGTATGAACTTTTCACTAAAATATTTCTTATGTGTTATTACGAAATTGTGTTCAAAGTATACCTCGTTATCGGAGGGTATTTCAGAATTTTCGAACCGTGTAATATCGAGCATGTGTTATCGAAATACACCTGAATCTCCTTTTACGTGGTCGATGCATACCGTGAAAAAATGGACTTTGATAAAATTGATGAGAAAAGGGAATCTAACATTATTAATTAAGATTTAACGATTCAGGTTTTATTACTTTATTATCCTTGAGGAGAAACTATATTGCCATGGTCGTGGTTGTAGGGGAGTAAACTGGCAATGTGTCGTCGTAGCTTCGGCGTCTGCGCAAAAGCTGGATCGTGCTGGTGCGCCGGCGTACGCAACGTGGTAGGAGAGCGAATTTGCGTGCGCGAAAGTATGTGTGAAGGGGAGGTGCCACGCGTGGCAATATGTTTAGTGGCAATATAGTTAGAGTCCACTGTATTAGTAGCCGAGAAATGATTTGTGTGTGTGAAAGTACATGTAAAAGAAAAGTGCCTCGCGTGGCAATATATTTAGTGGCAATATTGTTAGAGTCCACTGTACTAGTAGCCGAGAAATAATCACCAGACGTAAGTAGAAAGCTGAAAGTATACTAACCAGATAAGAAAACGAATTTGTGTGCGCGAAAGTATGTGTGGAAAGGAAGTGCCTCGCGTGGTGTTCCGTCGTAGACCGAAACGACGGTTATACAGTCAGACGATACCGTTACTTTTTATTATTTTATTCCTTTTTTTTTTTCAGTCAATTTATATATTTTGCAAGACCGACCCTTTGCAATTTTAATTTCGTTAACACAAAGAGAATAATAGACAAAAGAAGCGAACATTTGGTCTGCAGTCCGCCACATGCGCTCGGTAACCTGGGACCCATCCGCGCCGGGCCTTACCGGGGCGCGCTGACTCGCAGACAATATAATCATAAAACCCTACCGTTGAGAGACTCGAAAATTCGTCGCGGTCAACTCGCACCGCGACCACGTGCGCGATATTTTCCTGACGTCCGCTTCGCCCTGAAGGAGAGGTATTCCACCTCCGCGTCGCGTGAAAAACCCGAGAAATTTGCCTTCCCCTTCAGGGCATCACCAATAAGGAGGCGAGTTTTGGTCACGCCTTCATCAAACTTTGAGGAAGCGCGACGTCACACGAAACTCGAACAGACAGTCGAAAAGATACACACAGTCGAAAAGATACACACGGTCGAAAAGATACACACAGTCGAAAAGATACATACAGTCGAAAAGATACAGTCAGTCGAAAACATTCAATAAAAAACACTCGTTCGCAAACACTCGTTCGCAAAACATACTCGTCACGACTAGAGTCACACGGACTCAATTCATTCGCATTAACTCGCAATCGAACAATCATTCGACAACATTCGCATCACGATTCGCCAGCTCCAACGGTCGAGCAATTATTCGTTTTTCTCACTAAGAAATTGAAACAGTTGCCTAAAATTAATTTGGCGGGCAACAGTTCGCAACCGGACGCGTACCACGACGGTCGAGCCTGGAATTTACAACTCCAGGCGGATTCGAAAGAGAAATCCACGCGGACGGACGCGACACGTGGCAATATGTTTAGTGGCAATATAGTTAGAGTCCACTGTACTAGTAGCCGAGAAATAATCATCAAACGTAAGTAGAAAACTGAAAGTATACTAACCAGATAGGAAAACGAATTTGTGTGCGCGAAAGTACGTGTAAAAAAAAAGTGCCTCGCGTGGCAATATGTTTAGTGGCAATATAGTTAGAGTCCACTGTACTAGTAGCCGAGAAATGATCGTCAGACGTAAATAGAAAGCTGAAAGTATACTAACCAGGTACCACATCTGTGACCACCTCTCGTCGTTGAGGATAGTCTGAAGATTGGACGGACCGCGTTTGATTAGATCCCGTTTCGTTCGTGACTTTACTCGCTGCTGTTCAGCTCGACGCACCCTTCGGTCCTGTGTTAGCCTCTCGTGTATACCGAGGTGCGGTTCCACGGACCTCTTTACCACCGACGTGTGCACCATGTGGTACCAGTCGTCGACTATCTGCAACAAAGAACGATCTCGTGTTAATGCATTTGTCCTGTAACCGTGGACGTCTGGTGTGTAGTTTCGTGCCAGCAGGAACAAACGAATTTTAGCAAGGAGTTGTCGTTACCGATATGGCAACGGCTGCCTTCCGAGGAGCATAATTCGCTCTTCACGCGTCGGACATTCCAAGGCGTGGACTGCGTAATCCACGAGGAGAACGCGGTCTTGTATTTCTAATTGGTAGAACAATATGACAGAAGCTGAGAGCTGAATTACAGGTATAATTCTGTTGAATCGCCGTGAAATTACGCGAGCTGGAGAAATTTAGCTCTTCGAGCCTCTGATGTCCTGTCGACTTTATTAGAAGGAAATGATTCCTTATTTTAGAGGGACGTTATTCATACCACCTTCCAATCGTGAAATTACTAAAAATAAAACGTAATTGAACTAAAATAATAGTTTGACACATTTTATACAAAAATTGTATTTTTTATTTTAAAATCCTGTGCTTCAAAGTGTTAAAGAACACATCCCACAACTCTAAATCTTTTCTTTTAAGAAACTCCGCGTAAGGATGTTACACCATCGAACCAAGAATTTCAGACGGAAACTTCGCGCATTTCACAAGGCTTTTTCATTAGGAACGAAGGATTCATCATTTCCGAATCGAAGGGGGGGGAGCATGCGTGGCTCGTAAAACAAGATTATTTGATGCACAAGTTTGTTCCTCGGTATGGCAATACACAAAAGCGAAAATGTACGGCGAATAGCAATGATAAATGCGAGAAGTTGGTAACAGCTGTTAGAGGCAAGCTTCTTACTGTTTCTTTCCCCATGAGAAATTGCACTGCAATTTTTTCTCCCCAAGTCGCCTGTTTTCGGTCCCGCGAGTACGTTCTTGTGTTTTACAGTTTCATCGACCGGTATAAAACAGGATGTATTTGAAAAACGTGTCAGGAGAGCGTATCATTTTAAGAATGGAACATAAATATTTACGTTCACTCGACTCCAATTTCGAAGATAAAAATACGCATAATTTCGTTTGACTAAACATTTAAATTACGAATTATCCGAATTAAATTTTGACATCGTAGACCAGAGAGACATAAATTTGTAAATTCAATTTTTCCTTTCTCCAGACATAAAATTTTACGATAATTTATACTACCCCTGGGGACGCGTTTTCCATGGTAGGTACGACTGTGTACGTGATCACGGCGGATTCGTTCATTCGTTCGTGCACGAATTGTTTTGCAGTACGAGTTCGAAGAGATAACCCGCGTTTACGTCGGAACCGCCGCAAAAACACGGCTCCGGGAACAATAAAATTCGTCCGCGTCGGTGCTTTTTCCTATTTGTTTGGTGATTTTAATATCAGGCGGCGGGAAATTAAATCAGAGCTGGCACTTACCGACAAAAAAATACAAACAGACCGGGAATAGTTACAGTAGGTAATAAAGAATGACATTTCACAAAAATGAGATTCCGGAAAACATCTTTTATGATTTTGTCTTTGATTTATTTGAATAATACTTTGATTCCTAGAAAAATACTGTATAGAATTATTCATAGGGAAGCAACATACATGCTGTGAAGAAGGTGATTCAATATGCAAAAATCAGTAAAAGTGAAATTTTTATACATAGGGCATTGTTTTAGAGAAAATCGGATTTATAAATTTGGCCAGGTATAATTAGCATTCTGCTTACTATTTTCTCTCTATACTAACGATAAATATTGATGACAATTAGACTGTGGATGTAATGCATTTATAGCCTATGAGGCGCTGTGAAATACAATAGGACAAAACTTTCATCAGATACAACGGGGTTTCTATTTTACTCTTAATCCAATAAGGTATTTAGGAGAAGAAGGAAATTTCTACTTCTGCTCTTGTCTGTATGAATCATTTTATAAAATGCTATTTTGCATAAAAATCCGCAGTCTAATGATAACACAGTTTTGTTTGTCTTTTATTGATATAGTTTGCATGAAGTTATTTTGGAATCTAAACAACTCCGTATCTGTATGAATAAATAAAAATTGTCATTTAATAATAAAGGATAGCAAAGTATAGGGTAACATTAATTTGTATAATTATTAGAAAAAATAAATTCATAAAAGAAGAATTAAGACATTTATGATTCAACTTAATAAATAAATAGTAACAATTTATTCTGGAAATCTGCAAGGTGTAGCTCACATCTCAGTCCATGGTGAGCTATTTCTACTTATATTAATATTTATAAACATTGCCAATGGTGTTATATTATTCTGCATCCACAGTAATGTAGTAGAAACTACTACAATACATATACATATGTAGTGAGACCAATACCATACAGACAGTACCGTATTACGATCTCCGTTCAGTGCAAGTAGAAACAGGGGATAATAGGTAAACTCAGTACAGAGTAAACCTCGTTTCTATATTCTATTGTTCTACCTTGTGAACTTACCTTTTCATTAGGTGTAGTAATAAGTAACCCACTATGGTCACATGCAGTACTTCTTGTCAAAGAAAGCCTATGATGTTTTGAGTGATATCTGACCTTGTTCTACAATTTTCGCCGTTATTTACAAAGAAGAAAAGGGTAGAAAGATGTCATAAATTTAAACAGTGTTACCGGTTTATGAAACGGAAACAATGAATTGGTAAACGAAATATATAAAATGAACTTTTTTCGTGTAACAAATCCTGAACTAATCAGGGATCAGGACAAGCTAAACACGTTTTCCCCCTCATCATTCTCCGTCCAGCCTCGCTACTTTCCCACATTTTTGTCGCCATGCTTTTAGTCGTGCTTTTTGCTGGGCAAGAGCAGGGCGATTTCATCATTCGAAGATCATGTTCCATCGATTTGAACCTCGGCGTTTCTATCTTGTCCACGAAACCGCGGTCTCGTCTGACTTCCTCTACCATTGGTAAGCAGGGATCCAAACTGTTCTTCGACTTATAAATCTTCAGTCGAACCGAATACTTCTGTCCCTTCCACTCGCCAGTACCTTTATTAGTATCGATTCTTTGCCTCGTTACAGGGGTAATTCGTGGTATCTCCATAGGTTTTACGGGCACCTCGGGCAATCGACAGTCAGCATGCTGCCACATTTTCTTGACAGCAGGACACTTGGTCAAACGATACTTCAACGAGGACACGTTGGGCCTGCAATCGCTAACATCATCAATTTGGAATGATCCCCTCGGCCTCCAATAAGAACTGCCACCGAGTACCGCGAAAGTTGCTTGACTTCTGCTTTCTTCGACTGTTTTCGTTCTCTTCGGTAGCTGGAAACTTTGCTTGCTTTTATCATCGAAACAAACGACGCATGAATTCTCCGATGATTCCTTCTTCCATTCGCTGCTAGACCCAGAGCGGTTAAATTCAGGTTTGGATTTGACTAGCGTCAGTCGAGTCTTCTGCGGATGTTGTATCAATTCTGGCACGACATACTTTGTTGAAGATGGCTGTTGATTTGGTTTTGGTGTAGATTCGCCTGACTTCTGATGAGGAATGAACATCGTTGGATATCTGACACAGGTCTTAGTACTTGGCTGTTGCTTCTGGGACCAGTGTCGTGGACTTGGCGGTAATGATTCAGATCCACATTGATCGTTTCTTAGATCTGACATTGACTTACCCACTGAACATTTTGAAGATTCGGAAAGATTCTTTTTCTGGGCTCCGAATGCCTTGCAGTTACGTATACTAGATATAAGTTTCTCTGTTGCCGAGGTACATGTTTTTAGAATGGCAGAATCTGATTTACATTCTGCAGGCAGTGTCTTCTTTTGAGTCTTGAAACCGAACATTTTAACTATTTTGTCTCGAAAAGATTGTGATTGCGGCTTAAACGAGCATGTGTTGGGTTTTTTACATTGGGGTGGTTTTCTGACATTACTTGCTGTGGGCAAACATTGCTGATGATTAGATGAACAATTTTCATTATTCATATTTATCGATGCTTTATGGGTAGTGCATGGTGTCGATTGTTGTTTTTCAGAATAGCATTCTTGTTGTTTTGAGGGCATTGGTAAATCGTTAGACTGTGTAGGCTGATGTCGGTTAGCTTCACATAGTGTAGGTTGACTTTGCTGACAAAGACGTTCCTCTTCCTTCAAATCTGCACCTTTGGTAAGTTGATGTTGCTGTTCAGAATGCAATTTTTGTTCCTCTGAATGTCTTGGTGATGCACTACAGCTATCTTCTCCGCCTGGATGTTGTTGTTGTTTTTGCTGATCGGAGTGGAATACCTGTTGATTTGAAGGTGTCGATGATTTACTGTAATTCGATTCTACAGACTGATACTGCTGCTTAGTGGTATGTTCGTGGTGCGTTAATGTCTTTGATGATTCATTGTAGTTGTATTGTACAGGCTGACGGTGGGGTTGCTGTGATACGCATTTGTGTTGCTTTGAAGACTTCAGTGATTCATTAGAACTTTGTTGGGCAGATCCATAATGCTCTGTAAAAGGACAACATTGTTTTTGCTTAGATTTATATGTCTGTTGATTTGAAGATTTCAGTGATTCACTAGAATTTTGTTGCGAAGATTCATGTTGCTGTTGATAGGCACAGCGTTGTTGTCCTTTAGATTGCATCCGTTGACGATGCCGTCGCTGAAAATGGTTCTCTGGTTGCGTCCAAGATTCTTGACTATAATCGTATTGTGACGTTTTATTTTTTTCTGGATCAGAACAGTCCTGTTTCTTCGAACACTCCTGCGATTCTCTGCATTTGCGGTTTGGAGGCTCACGGTGTTGCTTCGTGGAACAACAATCCTGTTGTTTCGAACACTTTGACGATTTATTATTACACGATGATTGTCGACTGCAATGCCGCATTTGTGTGTTCAAATACAGTGGACAAATTCCCTTGTTCAAGTGAAAATATTTAACGTTCCAGTCCTGTAAACAATTTTGATTGCTACTTATACGTGGTTGCTGCCAACATTTTGCATCATCACTCGACACTTTCATATATTTTAAATAATTAGATGTTGAATATTGTTCCAAT